AACAACGTGACTCTCCATAGAAATCTGCTCTTTAAATCGTCTCTGTTCTTTTTCTCTATCTCCCTTCCTCCTCCTCCCCCCCCTCTCTCCTTTCTCTTTTTCTATTTTATAAAAATACACGGAGAATTCCATTTTTGGCACATAGACCGTACCTCGATGAAGGCAAAATTTTTAATTTATTTGTCTTATCGTTGCAAGCTTTTAGAAATTTACCTATATCCCGATGGATGGATATTATTTCGATATCGTTTAGGTATATATATATATATATATATGTATATATATATTCCTTCATTGATTTTCCTATCGATCGTTACAAATTCATTAAATTGAAAGTTATTGTATGTCATGCGAAGTGACACGAAACAGACAGCTTACTAATTAGATGTAAATGGTATAAATAGACTAATCTCTGGAGTAAGGATACGTGTGTAATGTATATAGAAGAATAGTATCCGTATATATGTGTACATAGGTATATGTATATATATATATATATATATATATTTTATCGCGCATAGATGTGTTTATCCAATGGTCAGTCAAGTTTTAACAAGACATAGAGAAGATATAAAGTTAAAGAGAAAGATAGATAGAGATAGAGATAGAGATAGAGATAGAAATAGAGAGAGAGAGAGGGTTGACGCGTTCCAAGGAACACATTCAATGTTTCCCTGAAAGCAACGTCGACGTAGGGTTTACAAGTGGAATCGGATACATGCTACGTGATTGCCGTCCTTGCATGTTCAATTTGCATGCATATGCATGCGAATACGAAACCGTCGGTGTACTACGGATCATCTGTCTATCCCACAGTTAGTAGTACCTTCCTATTGGCATATATCAATGTGTATTTTTCAATAAGTTCTCTCGACAATAGATTATAACTTAACGAATAAGAAAATAAAGAAATCTCAGTAATATAATGAAAATATCTGTTTGGAATACTTTGCTTGATATTATATCTCATTGATAAGTGCTTTTGATACATAAATATATATATATACATAGGATGAAAATTTTTACGTCCTTCCTTTATTATTTATACCGAAAAAAATCGACCATTGTCTACCGTTTTTTTTTTTTTTATTGCTACCGTATTTTTTATAACTTTATTGTTAATAATTCCTGTTAGGATCGATCAATCATTAAAAATCATCGGTATTTTCATCGACCATGTGGTTGGCACTTTAGCGAGAGGGTTTTGATTTGTGGTTTTTTTTTTTTTTTTTTTTTTTTTCTTTTTCGTCGAGTCACAAAAAGATACAAAAAAGGCAATGCATTGTGAAACGAACGACGACAATCGACGGTTTCGTGACACAATCCGAAACGTATGTGAGCGTTCGCATGTCGCATGTTACTATCGAATTATGCGATTCGAGCAAAACATGTACTTCTATACCTCGAATTACAAGCATTTATAATAATTTCAATGAAAATTGCACGCACAACGTGCCGCCAACAGGATATAATACATATCCTGAGATGATTTTGGCTTGTGTGTGCGTGAAAAACGTCCGTAGGATAAATTCATTTCAATTTGAGAAGAGAATCCGTTTCGACATCGTACATACAGGAAAAATATCACCTTCTCTAGGAAACTTGTTCTCTCTATTTCTTTTTCTTTTCCTTTACTGTTTTATTTATATATACTTTTTTTTTTTGTTTTTTCGTTTTTCTCCTTACTTTCTTTCCTTTTATTTTTCTATTTTTCACGGTAGTCATTATTCACAAGTTGGCTGCTATTACTATTATTCACCGAACGTTTCGTATCCGGTAGGTTCGATCGATCTAGATCAGGAGATGCATACAAAGTATCCATGAAGAGTTAAATGATACGACATTACGAAAAAATATAGGCAAGGTGCAGCATTTATTAAAGTATAAATATGTAGATATCCTGTACCAATTTACGTTCGATCGATGGATCGGAAAAACTCTCTTCGTTCTCTCGAGAATTTTCTTTCGCACTCTACATTATAATTACTCTCGCCGAACTCATCGATTTAAGTTAACATGTTCCCTCCTCTCTCTCTCTCTCTCTCTCTCTCTCTCTCTCTCTCTCTCTCTCTCTCTCTCTCTCTCTCTCTCTCTCTCTCTCTCTCTCTCTTATGTATTATAATGTAGAGTTAAAGATAAGACACCAACGAGGAGTTTGATATTATCATCTGTTTGCTAGTTGCATATTCATAGAGTGAAGTTATAAATTTACAAGTAGAACGCTCTCTTTTTTTTCTCGCTCGTTCTCTCTCTTTCTCTCTCTCTCTCTGTCTCTCTCTTTCTCTTTTCTTTTGCACCATTTAACGTCCTGACTTTCTTACGATTCATTTCATTATCTATCATAAAATCTGTATTTATATTATTTGTATTTTAATTAACAGAATATTGCTCATCATTTTTTTTTTCTTTTTGATTGTCGTAGCTCGTCCATCGAAAGAATATAAGTTATCTTATCGGTTATGATAAAGAAAAGAATAATTAAAATATTCGATAAGATTAATTCGATCAATAAATTGTAATATAATCCTCAATATTGATCGATCGAATATCATCCTACGTTCATACATATTTATATATCTTCGATAATCTAATCAAACTCGACGAGTATACTCGGCGATCTTTTACAGAATGTGATAATAATAATAATAATAATAATAATAGTATAATGATTTAATCAAGAGCAACGAAGTCATTCTCTCCATTATTTTTTTTTTCTTCGTTTTTTTTTAACAATTTTTTTCGTTGGGCTTTTAGTCAACTAGATATAATCAAAAAGAGAGAGAGAGAGAGAGAGAGAGAGAGAGAAGGAAAGGTAGAAAATAAATTCGTAAGAATTAATCGAGAGAAAGTGTTTGAGAAAGATTGTAAGAAAAAAGGAACAGAAGGGTAAAATAGAAAAGCTTTCGATTCAATATCCGCAGTAATATTTCTTTTTTCACGTTGACAGGGCTTGGTAAGCGTAGTAGTTTATATCTCGGACGTGACCGTTCACCGTTCTTTCCTAGCGTGGTCTTCCAATCAAACTGTCCTTTATCGCGATGGTCGAAGCGTGAAAAAGACGAGTCTCGTCCGGAGACCGTGATTTCGTTGAAAACGTACATACATACAAATACATGGATAGATACATAGATACGTATATAGATACATAGATATGGGTGGAGAGAATTCTCGGGACGGTAAGAAAAAGGAAGAAAAAGGCCGCTGCGATGTTGCTACGGTCCCCGGAAATTGCCATTGCAACGAACAGAGAGGATGGGTTAGAAGAGTAAATGAAGGTTCTCCTAAAATCTCCTGAAAAAAAAAAAGAACAAAAAATCATTCTTGAACTTTAGCGAGAAAAAAGAGAGAAGTTATGGAAAGAGAGAGAGAGAGAGAGAGAGAGAGCACGCGTTTCTCTGCCTTTCTCTTTTTAAATCAAAACCGGGTAAAATCTTAATAAAAAAAAAAATAAAAAAATAAAAAAAATGGACAAGAAAAAAGATATAAACTTTTATTTTTTGTCTTCGTTTTATTTAATAAAACTAGTGCCTAATAAAAAAGGACAATATATAAAAAATTTATTAGGAGCAGTAAGAGTCGCGTACTTCCTTGTTCTTTATTTTATTGAAAAAAAAAAAAAAGAGAAAACAAAAAGGATAACATTTGTTCACGAATGCCAAGAAAAACGACAGATGGAATTATGCTTCATTATCTCATAATCTTCCCCGACACTTAGAGAACATTCGAACTCGTCAAAGTCGCGGGCATCCGCAATTTTTACCGTTACGATCAACACAACTGCAACAACGATTATCGCAGAATTTTTTCATCCTCGAATCTCTTACAATTCTTGGCCAAACGTAATCGTAGGAATAAGGGGAATAACGGTTCCAAGACACTTTGAACCGCATATCGCGATCATCGTAATCAAGGCTCTCGTCGTACGATCAATTTCCCGACAATTTCTTGACTCCTCGCAATTACCGAATACTGCATCGTCAGTCCGTGAGAAGCGAGAAAGGGATACGAATCCAAGGACTTTGATTTCTTTCTTATCCTCTTCTTTCTATCCCGGAAATTATCTCTGCAGTCTATCGAAAAAAAGAAAAAAAAGAAAAAGAAAGAAATAAAAGAAGCAAAAATAAGAGGAAGAAGAAAAAGAAGAGGTTGTTAATGACACTTGAAACCCCACCATAAATAATGGATAATTCAAAAAAATGAAAAAGAAAAAGAAAAATATACGATTATAATATTAATAATACAATAAATTATACGCGGATAATTTATACGATCCAAGGTAAGAACGTAGAAAAAGGTTCGCGTTTTATCACCAACGATGATTAATCCGTCCTCTTTGAGTTGGTAGTTTTTTATGGAAGGAAAAAAAAAGAAGAAGAAGAAGAAAAAAAAAACTTGTGTGCATCTTTGGAGTTTATTCCAGTCGAAGGATATCCGGGTGATTTGCTTAGACATAGGCAGATACTACCATTAAGCTAACTGTTGGACGGTCGATCGAGTTTCTAATCGTTAGACAACTCCCAGTGTGGCCGCACGATTACGAAATGGTGCATAGTCAGCCGCGAGGTAGTAATGGTCGCGCTTGCACATGGCTCGCACAGGTTCCCTGTCGATGGATAATTAGCTTCCAAGGGATAGCTCGATGCACCGCTAGATTTGGTATTAACCGTCGATCGATATCTACCATGCTCATCTATTTAACCTCTGTGTAGTATTATCTCTCTGTATCTGGAATCACGTTCAAGGCGAGAACTTGATGGTCTTCGTTCGTGTGCCGTGTTATTAGTATCTACTCGGAACAATCTAATTACGTTATATCTATCAATGAACGGATTACAGAATATCTCGTGGTATATTAGATAAACACCGTTTCGATTTATGCTAATATATATATATATATATATATATATATATATATATATATATATATATAAAGGATAACCTATTTTCTGTTAAGTAAACTTTTTTATTAATTTTAAATGTCTCAACCGTGTGACTTTCAGATACGCCGATCGGACGTATAGGAACCATCCTCGTGGATTGATCATATACGGTCCAGCGACCGTGTCTAGCGTTTCCAAAGGCGACAACAACAACAACAACAACAACAATGTCACTTCGAAAATATTCCCATCAGCCGGCAAAGGGGATAATGGTGGAAGTGGTCTCGCGAACATTACCAAAACCGAAGCTGGAGTATTTCCGACGAACAACGTCATTGGGTTGTCTCCTGGAAGCTCACCTCAATATGCCTCGAATGCCACGAATAACGCGACGATTCAACAATGTCCCCTTGTATCTCCAAATCTCGGTAAGAGAAATTAAATTTTATCGTTTACATCGAAATACATTCGTCATATTCGTAAATCTATGTATTATATATATTTCTGTCGTTGAATATTTGAAATCATTGTCAATCTCATTTATAATATTAGAAAAATATCTGATAAAGAGAGAAAGAGAGAGACAATGTTTTTCAAGTTTGCGCAACGTAATAATGGTCGTCGCGAGATAAAAATAATGGTCGTCTTTAAAAAAAGAGAATGTTCCCGAGGAGATCTTTCCAACAGCTTCCTCGTCCTCCTCCTCCTCCTTCTCCTCCTCCTCCTCCCCCCCTTCTTTCTCCTCTTCTTTTTATCCGTAGTCGTTTGTCTTTGCACTTCCTACAAAGCTTGGAAAATAAAAGAAGAGAAGGACGAAAGAAGAAGGGTGTCTCGGCTTTTCTAACGCGTACTTCCTTCCGATTCGATTCTTCATGTCTCTTTGATCTTGTCTATTTGCACGCTAGCAGAGCTCGTTAACCGAACACCGAGGGAAACAAAGGTGGAGAAGAGTGGTGGCGGCGAGTATTTACCTCGGTTAATCGATGGACTTCTCTACCCTCTCGAAATCCACCTCCTCGATTCTCCCTTCTTTATCCCCCTCTGTTCTTTCTACGTTTACTTCCTCTCAATCAAATATTTTAAATCTATGATATTTGATTTGGTTGATAAGTGTAAACGTCCGCGCGACATAAATGATCCGATCGTTTGACTACATCGATCAATTGTTGTGTCAATTTTCCTTTTTTCTTTTTTTATTTTTTTTTTTTTCTTTCTTCTTTTTCAGTTGGTCCAGTGGCCGTTAGTAAAACTCCACCGGAGATGTCGGTCATTGAAAAAACGTTCATCGAGGTGAATCCAGGTGGAAGAGGATGTCCAACGAATTGCGTAGCGAGAGATCGCGTAGCCATTATTATTCCGTTTCGTGATCGGCCACAGCATCTGCAGGCGTTACTCTTCAATGTGCATCCGATTCTCTTGCGTCAGCAAATCGATTATCAGATCTTTGTGGTCGAGCAGGAAGGTGAGTTGTTTAGTGTGTTTCTTTCTTTTCATTTTTTTTTTTTTTTTTTTTTTTTTTTTTTTTTTTTTTTTGTAAACAACACCTTTATCATAAATCGATGCTTATCATATTAAATACAAGATGTTTCATTAGATTCTAACAATCTTTCTACCAATCAATATTTATAACCATTCTTTCTTTTCATTCGATATTTTCTTGTACGTGTTAAATACACGTGTGAAAATAATTTGAGCCTATCGCAAAGGTGTAGCACGTTTCTAATGTCAAGCAATAAATTTCTGTTCGTAGAGTGTTAGTGAAATAGAAAAAGAACACACACACATTCTCGTAAAGTATTAATTTAAAAAGTTCATCAAAGAAGACGTTCCAACGTTCTGTTTCATATCTCTTATCATTATACTTCATATATTCAAGTAATTGTAACAAATTTAGCGAGTTGTCTTGCAGTTGATTGCATACACGTGTTGCTAAAGCTGCGCATAATGTATAATGAGTATATATATAAATATGCATTATATATATATATATATATATATATATATATATATATACATATGCATATATAATGTATACATAAGAAAATTTTCCCTTGAGTCGAGAGGCGAAGCAGGATGAATAAATAAACGAAGAAGGGAAAAAAAGAAGGAGAAAAACAAGAAGAAACAGAAAAAAAGAAGAAGGAGATGCAGACTCGTTACTAAAAAGGCTTAGAAAAGTAAATCATCGAGCAGAGAAAAAGAGTAGCGAACATCGTGGATAAAATCGGCAAAGCCAATGGGATCTTTTTCTTTCTTTCTCTTTTTCCCTACGTTCTAATATTAAACGTGCGATTCGTCTCTGTCTTTCACAGCCACTTAAAGACTCTAACCGTTCTTTTTCTCTTTCTTTTTATTGCACGTGGACCTTGCAAAGAAGTGATGGATATAAACGTTTGAAAAATCCACCTGGGATTTGTTAAAAGTTTACAGATAGAGAGAGAGAGAGAGAGAGAGACGACAGCGATCGTTTCACGAATGTTGCCTCGTAACACCCAACGTTTTCGAAAGATTTATCGTTTTTTTTTTCTTCTTGTATCCTCCTCTTTCACGTTAAAAAGAAACAAATACTTTCTCTCTCTCTCTCTCTCTCTCTCTTTCTCTCTCTGTCTTACGTCGAACTTTGGTATATCTTAACCTTGTTTCTCTCTCTTTCAACGAGAATTCTATCCAAGAAGCAACGATTCTGCATGTTACAATGAATTCCATTGAAAGACAGCTATTCGTTTAAGTAAAAATCCTTGTACAGAAGAGAAAAAAAAATGGGATTCAACCGTAGCTCACTGTCATCACTCCTACGGGAAAATTAGCTTTATGTTAGGCTTGTTGTTACGTAATGTCACGTTAGAACGTAATTTAATCGACTAATGCAAGTCGAAAGCAAGTCGAAGAGATGCCGATAACTAGATTTGCTGCAATGCGGTATATGTCCTCGTTCGACCATTAGTTATTTCTTAATCAGACATCGTTAATCAAAGTATATAAGTCTCCTAGATAGCTATCATCCTTCCTGACGGAAATGTTTCATTTTTTCTTTCTTTTTTCTTCTTTGTTTTTTTTTTCTTTTTTTTCCTTTTTTTTTTTTGGAATATAAAACATCCAATGTTTATCATCAACCATATTGTAGACCGAGGCCAAAGCTATATGATTTATCTTAAATTTGTATTATTATTATTATTATTATTATTATTATTATTATTATTATTATTATTATTATTAATATTATCTCGTGATCGTCTATCTTACAGCTGTGACGATGTTAATGTTATCTTGGATACCTTAACGGGTCTTTAATTGTCTCAAATGGTCCGCACAAAGTTTCATCCAACAGCTGCTTTGAAATTCAAATCCTTTCTTCCTTTGCAAACTGTCTGTCTTCTTCATCCCTTTCAGAGGTCTACGAAGATTCGAGATTAAAGAGCCTAGCAGTAGTCGGCCACCGAATATAGTTTGCTTTTATATAATTGCCAACGGAGTGAATATTCCTTACATGGAAATAAAGACGAGAGTAGCGAGCTACAAGTAATCTTTTGATCATCAATAACGTTACTGAATGGTATTGATTATAGGATTAAATGTGTTAATCGACAAGACCATTCTTTTCTTTTTCAATCCATAGAAAAAGCAGATTTTTATCTTCTTCGAACAAATAATTGCTCTCTCTCTCTCTCTGTCTCTGTCTCTGTCTCTGTCTCTGTCTCTGTCTCTGTCTCTGTCTCTGTCTCTCTGTTTCATTCTTCTTTCTTTTGTTTGCCCTCTTCGGACACGACTGTAAAAGCGAAGTTCTTTTCGAACGAGAAGATATTCTTTTACTTCCATTTTCCTTCGTAGAGAGATGAGAAAGAATTAGTTTTTACAACGACCAAGTCGACCTTTTTAATGCTTTCTTCCCTACACGTTCCCTTTCTTTTTTTTATATCTCTCAAAAGATAAGCTTTTCTCTTTTCACAGGAGAAAACTGAGAGAAAAAGAGAGAGAGAGAGAGAGACATTTTCAGTGGGTTAGTTATTGCTTCTCGATACGAAGCGCGAACTCTTACGAGGTTTATCTTTCACTGAGAAAATTTTCTCTTCGAGTTAATAATCAAAAGTTTCTTATCCTTTATATTTGACTTTGATTTTTTTTTTTTTTTTATCCGTGCATTCAAAAATATAGAAAGAAAGGAAGAAAGAGAGACAGACAGATAAATACAAAGAGAAAGAGAGAGAGAGAGAGAGAGAGAGAGGGAAGAGGGAGAAATTCTTCTTATCTCAATTCAAATTGTAAAAAAGTTGGACGGAAAGACAGCTCGAAAGATTTTCAACGAGATGATTCCTTTGTTAGTAGGAAAAGTAATTACGTTTGAGGTACTCACGAACTCTCTTTCACGTCTTCTCTCTCTCTCTCTCTCTCTCTCTCTCTCTCTCTCTCTCTCTCTCTCTCTCTGAGTGATATCTATATAATGTATAATTTATTTCTCTCTGTTCGATCGTTCGATCCTCTCAAGATGGGTTAAGGTTTCTTCCCTCGAAGAGAGAAATCCCATTGACTCAATGATAATGAAGGATCAATAAAGAGAAAGAGATGTATATATATAGTCTTAAAAGAGGATAGAAATATATCGAGATCACTTTTGCTCTTTGTCATTTTCTTCTCTGATCATCTTGAAAATAAAGATTCCATCCTATTTTCAATAGAACGAAATAAAAAACGTTCGATTATTTTATTTTCTATTCTTTTTTCTCAAATCACACAATTGCTTTTCAACGATTATATTCCCTTTCATCCGTTTAATTCGAATGAAAATTCAACCGATTAATATAATATCATTGCGTATAATTACGGTTATTACAAAATTATAGTTTCACATGAAATAATTTCTATCCGTTAAACTCCATATCGAATCGGTTGAGTAACATCGAAGATATTAGTTATTACCCGGTTATATTTCTGTCTATTAATAGGAATTTCAAGCAGCGCTCTATCGACGTTTATTTCCAATCGATAGGGATTGGACGAACTTGTTATTTCGTCAAAGAGGATATTTATTAGAGATAAAAAGAGAGAGAGAGAGAGAGAGAGAGAGAGAGAGAGAGAGAGAGACAGAGAGAGAAATTGAATCTTGATAAATAATTAAAAATGTATGAAAATTTGAATGTTCGCGAGAACATAAATGAAGTTCGTAATTCGATCTTTTTCTTAGAGCAAACGATTGACTTGTCTGTTTTGATCGTATATCCTCCGAAGCAAAGCTCTCGAGGCATCGTGTAACAAGCAGTTAGGGTAATACGAGAGCATAATAAGATAGAAGAGAAGAAGAAGATGACTCTGGAGCCCTTTCCACTTGTTTTCTCGATTAGAATATTATTTCAACGTGTATTTCGTTACGCGAAGAGTAAAACCGGCTCTCTCATTTACTGGAAGAGAAGGATGCTGCTGCCGTTGTTGTTGCGGATATCTTTGCGAAACGAGTTTCCTCCTCTACAGGAACGACTTATGATTAACGAGCTAAACTCGTCTACTATGGAAATACGAAGATGATACCTGCTGTTTGCTTGAGAATAGATAAATGAAGAAGAGAATGATGATTGGATAAAGGACGGAAATATAAACGTAATGCTAATGTGAAAAGGAGAGAAGAAAAAAAGGAAAACAAAATTTAACATTAAATCAGCTGATTTATTAATTAGAAAAACGTTTTTTCGTTACGATTAATAAAGTATACGGTAATAACTAAGAAAGGATACGTCAGAGGTGATGTTATTATTTCTTTTTTGTTTTATTTTTCTTTTTTTTCTTTTTTTTCTTTTTTGTTATATCCGATGTAATTCATCATAGTATCCTTTCTTCCTTATGGAAAAATCCATTTTTCTTGTGAAAAGCACAAATTCGACGAATTCAGGAAGAAAGAGAAAAGAAGGATTTATGATGGAAACTTTAGATATTACGTTAGATAAAATAGAGTTACTGTTGCTTTTCACGTATTACGATCGTTCTCCTGGTCTCTCTCTCTCTCTCTCTTTTTCCTTGAGATTACATAGTCGAGACCGTCCACGAAATCGATATATGTAAATCGATCGATTCTCCTGGGACACTTCCTATAGAGATAATGCTCTTGTTTCGTCCGTTGAACTGGACGAACGAAAAATCGCACTGAGAAACGTATATACATAGATACATAGATACATACATGTGTGTGTGTGTGTGTGTGTGTGTGTGTGTGTGTGTACATGCATGCATGAAGAGAACTCTTCCTCTTTCGTCTTTTATCGCATCTTGTCCTGTCCGATCCATATAAATCTCGAGGCTCGAGTATACCTACACCGAGATTTATTTTATATACACGCACGTTATGGATGGCTTTTAAAGGAGAAGACTCGTAAGGCGTGAATTATAGTTAGAGCGATCAAGCGTTAAAGACCCTCCCTCCCCTCTAACATATTCTGTCGACTTTAAATCACCGACCAATGATGTAGAATAGAGAAAGAAAGATTCAAGGAAAAGAAAAGGAGAACATTTTTTTATCTCGTTATATTAATTTTTACTGACAAAGGGAAATAAAAGTTAGAGAAAATATATATCTACACAATTTTTGATTTTTTTTTCTTTTTAACAAATTATAAACTCTATATTTTCTATACAATATGTGTGTGTATATATATATATATATCTAAGTATATATAAAATTTTTAAGAAAGAAAGAAAAAAAGAAAGAAAGAAAGTAGAAAGCACTCGAGCAAAGTTTTTGAGGTAGCTCTCTTCAGACATAGAGCGCGAAAGTGCTGGGAGTCTAACTGGGTCGATTAATCTCTCACGTAAGGGATGCTGCAAGCAGCACTTTGCACACACCGCGAAAGATCACTGTGGCTTGTTCGCCACCCTAACCTCTTTTTAGCCGCGTAGTATCTACATACGATATATGGAACAAAGCAAGGAAAAAAGCGTGGTTAGAGATAGAGAGAAAGAGAGAAGAAGAGTCCAAGGAGAAAGAAACTTATCCGAAGCGCCTACACGGTTGCCCTACATTTCAATATTTCTCTCGCCCTCCCTCTCTCTCTCTCCCTCTCTCTCTCTCTCTCTCTCTATCTATCTATCTATCTTTCTCTATTACTATTTCAGACTTTTGCACTTTTTCCCGTCGCATCAGTCCAAGCTCTCTATCTTCTCTATCTCTTTCTCTTATTTTAAAGCGAAGATAAAATGTGAGAAGTTTTAATTGAAGTTGGAGCAGCTTTATTTTTTCTTTCTTTTTCTCTCTCTCCCTCTTTTTTTTTTTTTTTTTGACTTTTCTTCTTTTTCCTTACTTCATCTTTTTCAATTTCTTTCAAGGACCACGGAATTAAGGTCCTTCGCCTTCATCCATCCATCCATCCATCCATCCATCCATCCGTCATTCGCGAAATTTATTCTATTTCTTTTTTTTTTACTTTTGTTCGTATTTTCTTTTTTCTTTTTTCTTTTTTCTTTTTTCTTTTCCTTTAATTGACAAAGTGTTTTTGGTTCGTCGGTTGCAGGTACCGGAGCATTTAATCGAGCGATGCTGATGAACGTCGGTTACGTGGAAGCCTTGAAGGAAAGAACATTCGATTGCTTCATTTTCCACGATGTCGATTTACTTCCGGAAGACGATAGAAATCTGTACACCTGCCCGGAACAACCCAGGCATATGTCCGTCGCCGTTGATAAGTTCAGATACAAGTATGATTTCTTTTCCTTGCGATAAATTTATATATATACATACACACACACACACATATATATATATATATTTTTCGTGATGTAGAACGAACGAACATAATTTAAAAGCAATTAGTTCGGGTTTGAAATGCCGAAACGATGAACACAGAACGGAAGATAATTATTTCCGAACGATAGCAATTTCTCGTCGAATAGAGGTAAAATGGGAATTGTGATGCGGACGATAAATAATTATTACCGTAATTAATTAACGCACGTATCATTAACTCGTTATATTATGTACGATCGTAAAACGTTCTATATCGGCTTTTCTTCATTATCTCGAATTGATTTTTACTGTATATTTTCTATAAAGGGAGATATGCACGTATAATGAAAAATTAAATGGAAATTTCGTTTGAAATTTGATTTTCTCGAGGCTCCCGTATGCCGACCTTTTCGGTGGTGTTTCCGCTATGTCCCGGGAACATTTCAAACTGGTGAACGGCTTCAGCAACGTCTTTTGGGGTTGGGGTGGCGAGGACGACGACATGGCAAATCGTATAAAGGCTCATGGTTTGCATATATCTCGTTATCCTGCTAACGTAGCTCGCTACAAGATGCTAACGCACAAGAAGGAGAAGGCTAATCCAAAGAGGTAAAAGGAAAAAAGAATCGATTAAACAAAAAATCATTGTTCTTATTTACGATCTTTATTTCATATTTGTTAAATTACATTTGAATGCAATTTCTGATGTAACATTTATACAACGTATTATCTCAATAATCTCATTGCAGTGTATAACGTAGAAAAATATTCATCGGCAGAGTGTACAGTAAAGAAAAAATCCGTCATCGTTCCATATACAAATGTACTTATAGTCCGTTCAAGTCTGACCTTTTGCCCCCTTTTAATATCAATCCACCATATACACTAGAGAAAAATCCATCCCAGTTCCATTGTTGAAAAATCCATCGACTTCCATTATCTGTATGTCCGAGATACAAGTAAAACCGTCAACACTAGAATATGACAATCGAGAAGAGAGAAGCACTTTTATCCACTTTTTCTTATCTCTACTTTCTTCTTCTTCTTCGTCTTCTTCTTTTTCCCTTATCTCTCTTTATACGTATTATTGAGCGATATTATCATTCATCCGTAGGTACGAGTTCCTGAGGACAGGGAAGAAGAGATTCGCGACGGATGGTCTAAGCAATCTTCAATACGAGCTGATCGATAAACAAAAGCCAAAATTGTATACGTGGCTTTTGGTACGACTGACACCACCGCAGCCCAGCTGATGGCTACCATGGATCGGTTGAAGGCTCTGGGAATTTTCTCTCATGGCCTTATCAAAATGATACAGAGTCCGCTTTCTTTTTCAGAACGTTCCTCCATCTTTCTATTTTACGACTAATGCTCGATAAAACTCGCACAGTGGGATAAATTATCTATCAGCGTCCGTTGTTTATTACGTGCATGCGTGTGTACTTTCTTCTTTTGTTTCTTTTCTTGTTCTTTTTTTTCTTTTTTTTCTTTTTTCTTTTTTCTTTTTGTTTTTCTTTTTTTTTTTTTTTTTTTTTTTTTTTTTGTTTTTTTTTTGTTTGAACGTTCTCTAAAGAAAAAGAAAGAGAATGAACAAGATGAAGAAGAGAGCGAAGACTTCGATCGGTACGTTTCGTAATACGAAAACGAACTTCCGCACTGTTGTTGTTGTTGTTGTTTTCGATTGTATCCGGCGTGCGCGTTTAGATAACTCGCGTCTATTACTACTGGTTTCCCTTGAAAATCTTAGCACCGTTAGAGGGGTGCGACGACGGTGGAAACGTCATTGCGTGATATATTTTTATTCCTCATATTTTTTTATTGCAACGATAGGATAACGAGTGCGATTAGAGATGTAACGAAAGAGTTGACGTGCCAAAGGAGAGAGTGAAAGTGAATCTAAGAAAAAAAAAAAAAGAATGAATAACAAGGAAGAGAGAGAGAGAGAGAGAGAGAGAGAGCGTGTGCATGGAATTTTTATGATTGAGTGCTTGAACGACGGTAATTCGGTCGGATAAAAAATTCCTTAGAATTAAATAAAACAAAAAGACGTCCACGTTATCTCTGGATCTCATTCCGAATCTTCTTCCTGTTTAAATTGAAAAAAAAAGAAAAAAAAACAAAAAACGAAAAAAAAAGATAAAAAGATAAAACAGAAAAAAAGAAAACCAAGAAAAAACATAAGAAGTATGATATCACACAAAAAAGACATGGAACGGGAAGAAGAAATAATTTTTTCCAATCGCGGAACGTCGTCTATCTACTTAATTAAGCTAAATAACTTTAGGATATGCTTGGAAAAAGAATTTACTTAGCTTATAATTAGTCATTATATTATCATGTATATATATATATATATACACACACACACACACACACACACTCACACACACACACACACATACGTACGTACATACACACACACACACACTTCTATTTTTTTATATAAAACAACTTTTAAAAATCGCGAATGCAGTGTCCACCGATACCGTGGACGTTCGGTTTACGTCGTGTCGTCCGTTTGCACGAGATATCAATGAAATAAAATATCAAATGAGATTAAAAATAAAAAAAAAAGGACAGAGAAAGAGGATAGGAAAGAGAAGAAAGAAAATAATGAAAAAGAAATGAAGATAAGCTTCCTTTTGGATCATCGACGCTTCCATTTTCCATGATTCACACGCAACGCAATTGAGAGGCAAAATTTCATCGCGTGGATTTACAAATAATATAAATATATAAATATATATATATATATATATACACACACATCATACATATATATATGTGTATATATATATTATAACTTATATAATAGCAAACGCATAAATATAATTATCGAAAAAAAAGAAGGGAGAGCTATAGAATGAGAGGTAGAGAGCGCGGGCGCGTATGTGTAAAAGACATTAATTAATGAACATTAAGACATTCGCGTCCAGCTAAATTGTTAAAGTGCATTCTCATTATTCGGCATGTATCATTTCAAACAACTTGTCTAAACCATGAAGTAAGAGAAACACAATACATTATAAAAATTTATTGACCCACAATGATATCCTTCGCGAGAGCTGAAATACGTAGATATTTTCTTTGGATCGAAATGAAAAAAGAAAAAAAGAAGAAAAAAAAGAAGAAAAAAAGAAAAACCAAAAAAAGAAAAAAATCTTTGACAGATTGTGATGTAGAATTTATTTTTGTATTTAGGTACATTTATTTTCCTATCTTTCTTTTTCTCGTCTTTTTGTGTTATCGTTTATCGTTACGAAATTGTACATATACAATATAAGTATATACAATACCTCTCTTTATTTTATTTATATAGATTATAAATATGAAAAAAAATATTGCAAAAAGGAGATTTGTTGCGTTTAATTGTACAATGGAAATGAAACTTTCGATTCGATCGTACGTTCATCAGCTCCCGCGGCTTTTTTCATTAAACGCGTGAAAATTAATATCAATCAGCAAAAACGAAATAGCGATTAAATCTAAATATGATGTAAGTTAAATTGCTAAGTATTTATATAAACGTAAGCAATTCTTTGAGATATACGAGAGAGAGAGAGAGAGAGAGAAGACGTATTTAACGTAAATGCAGTTACATACCACGTATGAACAGAGAAACGTATCGTCATTCACATCGCCAATTTATTATTAAAATACAATTTATTAAAAACGAATAATATTATAAAAAGAAAAAGAAAAAAAGGTATGCAAGAATCGTACACGAGGATCATCGTCGATTCTAATCTACGTCATTGGCAGAGATTTATATTCCTTGATATTTATTTCGCAAATATCTCGAAGAAACAAGGAAAAAAAAGAAAAAGAAATAATATTTGGTATGTGATTTGAACGTAGAAAATATATTATTATACATCCTCGTGTACGTAAGATCTTGCTTTTTCTCATCTCTATTTTATGCGCGTGATGTAATAGAAGAATAAATTCTGTTAAAAAGAACGATATGTAGATACATCGAATCGTAATTAAATGTTCTTCGAATTTATTTACAATAGGTAAGGAAAGCGAACGAACGGAAAAAAAAGTGAAAGGAAAAAAAAAAAAGAAATAATAATAATAATAATAATAATAATAAGTTTATGGAGGAGTCCTTTCCCGTTCCTCCGTTATTATTTCAGAAAACAAATTACCGAGATGTTTAACAACGAACTTGCTCGTACTATTCAACAATTTCATAATGAAATTGTGATTCAAGAAACGATGCGACAATACTATGTCTTTTTCGTTCGACAGCTCTTCGTCGTAAAGGTCATCGTAAACGTCACGCAATAATTGAGGAAGAGTTTTCGTCGTTTGAAAGAGATCTGGTTGGGAAGCGTGCCAGGGTAAGGTAGCCAATAAAACTGCCTACAAAATGAATTTATCATCATTTCAACGTATAATATATGAACGATTAAAATATTAATTCGATTGGTATTAAATGGCACGTACACATGTGCGCGCGAGCGCATGTATATACGTACATATATACAATCAATATATATAAAAATCGTAATACGATTGTTATATTTTGTTTCGAATTTTATACCATGCAAACGTGAAACGGCAGCCAATGAATCATCTCTCTTTCGATTCTTTCTTCAAATTCTTGATAACTCTCAAACATCATAGCTTCAAGTTCATTTTTGCTGTCACTACTCGAATTCGTTCGTTGTTCCGTATCCGACATATCACGAAATAACGTCGAAATATCAAACTCGCCGGATCCATCAAGCTTCTGAATTACGACTACACTTCTTTTTACGTATTCTTCTTTTTCTTCCGTTATTATCACATCGGCAACAGCATTGTCAAAGAGGAGATTTGTTATCTCTGTAGCTATCTTAACGAACAAATTGTTTGATCAATAATTATCCGAAAGATGTAATATTGTTATTTCATATTAGAAATTAATTTCACAAGTGAAAGTTTTTAATTTGTTAATCGGTAATAATTTTTACAAGGTGATTAAGAGTGTATCAATTAATATTACTTGAATTGCTTCTTCGTGCAAAAGACGTTTCATAGATTCCAATTGGATGGATAATAGTTTCTCTTTGAGTATCCTCTCGGCGTATTTCTCTCCCTCTTCGAAGTCCGTGCACACTCTAGCCCCGATAGCTAACGAGAGTGCCTTTCCAAGTCCCTCGCGAGGATCCTCGTCCTTGCAAAATGCCAAGAGCAAAGCTGTATAATTGACCGAATATCGATCGATCAAGTACATCTGACAAAGCAACTCTTTCGCCAACATGAATCTCAAAGCCTCCTCGGCATCCCTCTGGACCATTATCTTCTCCTCCTCGTCCTCTAATAGTACATCGTCATTAATTCCCCTAGAAACTCTTAAGGAACGCACGTAATCCATTGCCCTTTCCGGAATGATAGTGCCCAACAATTTGTCAGGATTAACGAAATCCTTTTCCTCTTCGAATAATTCTTCGAATGATCTTTGAAAATCATCGAATAATATATGCTGAATGTCCGATGAAGTATCATACGTATATTTGAAGAACCATAATGGTACAGAACGATACTGATCTCTCGTCACGATCTCTTTCGAATCGAGATCTAACGTTCTATATCTATCGCGAGCGCATAGAATGTCTTCTTGTGTTGGCGTGGGAAGATCCATAGCGTATATAAGGAATTCACGCCAATCTACGTACTCGCAACGACCAAATATATTCTCTACGAGTTTTGAAACGTCGCAAGAACGCAAAAGTCGCCAACACATGGGAACCGGCATCGATCCATAACCATCGTCCTCTTCCTCCTTGTTGTAAGATATCATGTCTTGAAGAACATAAACGAGAGATCGTTCGGGCAACGTTCCACTCGGTGCGATTGTTCTAAAGACGTTCATCAGACGACCCAATTGGGAGATCGTGAATAGAGATGGCTTTATCGTTTCTCTCGTTAATTTCGGTGGTGGCTCGGGTTTCGTTGGAAACATCAAAACGTCGGATCTAACGTAGAAATTTTCACCGTCCAATATTAATTCTTCTTGAATCGGTTTCTCTTCTTCGATGGCGAAACAAAAGACCTTTATCATATCGTCCACGCTATTCTTCTCTTTCCTATATCTATATAAAGAAAAAAAGAGCTTTAATACTCGTTGAAGCTCGATGAATATAAAAAAAGAATGTTACTTTTTCCTTTTTTTTCTTTTTTTTTTTTTTTTTCCCCTCCCGTAAACAACAGTACCTGTCGACTATTCGTTCGTAGATCCGACGAAAGACGAATCTCATCGTGTCGAGGAGAAAAGCAACGTCAGCTTCGGCGGCTGCTAAAAGTACCTTCAACCTGATCCTCATACGATTGACTTCGTAGAGAGTAGCGTATCGCCATTCTTGAATAAGATCCTGACCTCTCGTCCTCAATTTTTCAAGGATAGAAAGTTCGGCCGAAAGTTCACCCTTTCTCCATGTTCTTTCTCTGGATTTCTCTGGAGTTGTCAGAATATTCTCTTCCTTTTTTAATGTATCATTGACAATGTTTGCGATAAATTGTAAAAAATTTCTAACGTAATCGACATTATCGGAAATTGCTTTGTAAACGATGCTCTCGGATGAATCGAAAATTGTCATCTCGTCTTCGACGTTGACGAATAAATTCGTGATCTCACGAGTGATCTCGTTCGGATCAATAATAGGTTTGGCATAATCGAATCTCTCCGAATCAATTCTCGATTTAGTATCCTTTTTATTTTTTTTATCTTTCTCTATGTGAAAATGAGATAGCTTACTCGGTAGATGGGATACCTCATCCTTTTGCGATATCTTCAGTCTGTCGAGTAAAATTTTCGATAATCTCGATTCTTGAATCGGCTTTTGAAGCATGCTCATATAATAATCTTGAATCATTTGAAGAGTATCGACGGATCGATCGATTTCGGTCTGAAGAATCGAAATGTATATATTAACGAGAGTCACGGCTTCAACGTCGGTCCAACCTTCTCGAACGATCTTCTGACGTTCCTCTTCGGCCTCTAACCTTCTTGAATCACAAATATTCCATAGATGAGTTTGAAAGTCAGTTAGACGACAATGCAATTCGCATTTAACTTCCTCGTCGTCTCTCATGTCCTCGCTTATGTCGTCATTGTACGAACGTTGAAATTCTTCCAAGAGAATCCGTTTGGTGTCGGGTCTCTCGATGAATTCCTTCATGTTTCTCATTACGAAATCCTTGTAAGGTATGATAGCCGAGGAGTGTGTTCTCTTTAACGAGAAAATTTCCATCAGATCGACGATGTAAATCTCTTCAATGTTTTCCCAAAGAGTAGCCAGAGCATCGAGCAGTACCGGACTCTGTGGAAAATCTATCCATTCCCATCCATCTTCTCCGGGTTTCGGTGCTCGTGAAACATCGATGTAATCTCCAGAAGCTTCGACGTCCATTTTCATTTTCTCCTCCTCCTCCTCCTCCTCTCCCTCCCCCTCCCTCCGTTCGTCTTCTTCTTCTTTCTCTTTCGAGACGATAGTCGACTTGGATAGAATCCGTCTGGCTATAGACTTCTTCTCGAGGAACGCTTTTCTATTCAAATTTTTATCTTCTTCTTCCAACGACGCAACGACATTCCCGAAAAGCTCTACGGATGGTGTCCTCGGTAAGGATTTTTCTCCGATCACGAGCCTGGCAATTTTCTTTATCGTGTGTATGTCGAAGTAATCGTAATAGACGACGTACGCGACGCTCTGATCGGCATAAAACTCGTCAAGAACGGTCGCATCTTCGGACAAGACTTCTACCAGATTGTTCGGGTCTACGTCGAGATCCTTTGGCTTTGGTATTGCTCTGACGTAAGCCGTCATGAAGCTCCTCGACGTCGTCGTATCCGAGATCTCTCTCTTCGCGATCGGATTTGGCAAAAGTTTCGATTGCCTGTAAACGTCGTATCATATCTTATCGTCATCCTTTCATCATTTTTAATCAAATCGACGATTTATATTATAATATCAATGATTGCCTGTAAATAGCGTAGTCGTCGATTTCAGTATCCTCGTAAACTATCCTCGGTGAAACCGGATCGATTTCCTCGATGTTGTTAACGTTATCGAAGTTTACGACAGTCGGATCCGGTGGAATTTTACGACCTGTTAAAGCGTATTCCAAACGAGCCATCTGATCGTAACTATTCGGATAATCGATCAATGCCCATCCTTCGACATCACCGAGACTCCTGAGATACTCCAAGAGTATTCGCGTGTTAAGCTCGTTCGAAATCGGCTGACCAAGGATGAGAAACTCATAGGTCCATTTTCCAACGTAGGCAACATTTGACAGAATAGGATCCATGTCGTCGTAAGGTATAACACGAGGTGTCTGAGTTTCCTTCTCCTTCAAATCTTTCTCGACATTTGTTCCTTTCTCATTTTTATCTTTAGTCATTGCCGAGATTTTACTAGATCGAAGGGTTTTCCTCGATCGAGCCGTAAACGTATTCTTCTTCGAATCCTCGGACTTGCGTTTCGATACGGTCGATTTTTGAAAAATTTCTTCGGTAGCTCGAACGATATTCGCATCGACGTATCTCACGTCCAACATTTCTTCCTTGTATCGTAACAAGCAATAATTAATAGCGTCCTTCATCGATACCAAACGAATCCCGCTCTTTTCCAATAATAATTGAATAGGATTGTACAAACTTTGCTCTACGACACCCAATATTATAGCAGCGGTTTTGACCTTAGATACCGGAGGTTCTAAAGGACCAATCGGATATGGATAAACGAATTCTAAAAGTCGATGAACGATGTATCCTAAGACGAGTTCGCCCAATTTCATGATTTCTTCGATCTCAGTTTCTATCGGAGGTACGTAATCGTCCCACGGTGATTGCAAAGTATGATAACTCTCGAAATTAGCTTCGTTCAAAGCTTCTTCCCTGTACATCAATGAACGAACAATTTCTTCGATCTCTTCTATCCTCTCGGCCTCTTCGTCTTTGAAAAATTCATCCTCGAAGGGTTCGAATATAGGTTGACATTTTAGAAACAACGTCTTCCATTCCTTCCAAATAACCTTTGGTACGTAACCTTCGTTGGAGCTTCGATATTCGGCTACCTTTAACGCGACGTCGATCAAATCTTGAACGGCCTCTCGACAGATACGTTCGTGTTTTTCCCGTAATTTTTTTAATTTCTCCTTAAGAATCCTCCGATGTAGCTCGCACAATCTCTGATACTCGCTGTCAACATCCTCGGATTCCCAATAGAGTTCCTCGCGCTTTCGTACCTCCTCCATTCGCATTTTGCTCTCCTTAGCGTCCATCATCAATTGATTCACGATCTTTCTGTTCTCGGTTACAACATTTTTGTAATTACGTACCTCCAACAATTTAGTTATCATTTGTTTCTCATAATGAGAATAATCCAATGCACGACGAGCGAGCGTCTCATCGTAAATTTTCTCTTGCTTATCGGACAACGCTTTCCAAAGTTCCGAGAGCAGCATGTTTTGCATTCTTGATTTTACAGCATTCTCGACGTTCTCTTTTCTTTTGCGATCTTTCAACCAGGATACATAAGCTTTCGCAGCCTCGGGATCCTCCGCGGATATTTCTATCTCATCGTACGTTTGATCGGTCAGACAGGGATCATATACGTCACGTTTGGACGTTTTAATGCGATGCTTTCGAGCAAAATCGTCCATCTCTTTTAAAATATCATCTCCCTTCGTCGTGTCACAAAATACTTTTGGTAGGATAGGTTCAATGATATCGATTTTATTCAATGGTTTCCTTTTCAAGCTCTCTAACTTTTTTCTCTCTCTTCTGCAAGATTTCAATACATCTTGGAACTTATTACGATGCCATTTTATCGTACTGGAAGCCTTTGTTAGAGGCTTCGATAGAGGATGATCGGGTGGTTCGTAAGAAGAAGGTTCTTCCTGGATTGGTATCACGTCGAATTTCCTTGAATTAGGAATATATTTTTCTCGTTCTTTTTGCAACGTGACAAAGTACAAATTGTCTTTGCCCTCTAAGCAAAGATATACTTTGTAGAATAATTGAAGTGCCGTCGCGCCCTTACCACAGCTGATCTCATTGATGCAATCTTCGCTACAGTCAATTCCGATAAAACGTAACCAAAGGCGTAAATAGTTCAAGTTCACTCTACATAAAGTAGGATCTTCCGTCTGAATGATCGTATCCAATTGATCGTTATTGATGATCCCGTAAGTGTGAAGAATTTTAGCCAACATATTGCCGTCTCTCGTGTAATGTCCGAACAATTCCGGCGTTAGTTCCATCAACACTCCTAATGTCTTTCTAAACCATTCTTTCAACACTTCGCCCATCGCTTTTATTTCCAAGAATATTGTTCTTTTACTTTTTTTTTTTTTTTCTTATACTTTATTCTATATACTGATAAAATTAAATTTACTATTCTGATAAGATTAAAACGCGATGAACTAGTCCGTTAGACGAATAATAATCGATTTGTAAGTATCGACGAATCGATCGACTACGATGTTGAGTAGAATAGTTACAATTTTACATAAGATGTTTTATGAAAAACATTTGATTAAAAGATAATGGTATTCTCAAATCTTTCTAATCGATATAATAAATTTTCCCATTTCAGCGTTGCCATTGATAAGGGTGTATATAATGGAAGACGACAGTACCGGCTTTATAGCGCAGATACTATATTGGAAGTCGACTGTAACGATCATAGCGCAGACACTATAATGGAAGGCGACGGTACTACCTGTATCACGCAACGATATAATGAAAAGCGACGATTTTTTTTTTTTCTATATACTGTGGGACATCCCCGGTATATAGAAAACCAACTTTTTATTTGATTATTAACAATAATATATTTCTCTTCACTCTGTGAAGCTTATCTCATCTAAATACTACTGCACTTTCAAAGAACTGTGAACGAACAATGAGTAAAAAATAATATGGGCTTTATCAAGTAGAGAAGCTATTAATGCATGAATAATACAGTTAAAAAACAAATAAAGCTTTTTGTTTTTTTACATCCTCGTAGTAACTTGCATAATGAAGCGTACAAAAAATAAAATAACATTAACGTTCGTTAGTAAGTATGAAAGAATAGATACAAATTAATAATTGACCAATGTGTTTTTTTATTGTAGGATCTTGGAAGAAATGGTCACTGTTTAGAAATGTTCAAGAAGGATTTATGGCAATGGCATTAATCATCTACTGCTGTTACTCGTACCTAATTAATTAATATACACATAAATGGGAATAAAAGTTTTAGTACAAATAGAATTTTATGTACGAACATTATTTACTAATAATAACTATAAATATATATATGTATATGTGTATATATATATATATATATATGTATGCAGATATATACATACACACACAAATATACCTCAAATAGTTTGTTAACATTCAAGTGATCACTGTATTGTATACAAGAATCATATATATAATTTTCGAGCATACATATTGATACGAATCTTTCTTTTTTTCTTTTTTCTTTTTTTTTCAATTTTATTTTCTTATCACAATACACAATCCCCTTTAGTTCGATATAGTATAGTTTAAAAATCTTCAATTTCATAAAGACAGTTTTAAAAAATCACAGATCCGCAAATGCAATTGGTGATCACTTAATATCGTTTCCATCCTCTGTATATTTGTCATTTTTCACTTCTATCCTTAATTGCGAACGTCCTCTCGTATGATTTCCAATACGCGAACGTAGATCGCCACTTTTTAATGTATCTCTTAAATCTCGACCTCTTGATTGTCTGCAAATAATTATTTAGAATAGTTAATTTAGCTTAGAGTGTTTAAAATAGAAGGATTTTTTTTTATCTTTCTACCTCTCTCTCTCTCTCTCTCTCTCTCTCTCTCTCTCTCACCTTTCCTTTAAACTACTGCTGTTAATTACACTTTTTACATTATTTAATCTCGTCCAAACAGTAGACGCAACACGTGGCTTATGTTGAACCACTTTGATAACGCTGCCTTTAGGTCCTTGCACTTCTTTCGCCTCTACATCGCTATCTTCGCTATCAATCTCATTTTCTTCCCTTTCTTCGGCCTCTGTATTTTCTTCTTCCGTTTCTTGCCATTCACCCTCTTCTATTTCTTCTACTTGAGTATCCTCTACAATTTCACCATCCTCTTCCTACCAAAGAAAATATTAATATACAGATTAATAATCGTTCGTTACGAAATACTTGCGCCATTAAAATAAATCTTTAATTACCTCAGAATCACTAGGTTTTGTAGAATTCAATCTTGTAGAATTTCTATTAGTAACAACAACTTGTATTGCATCACGAAATTGCGTTGGCTTGACTGGTCTACTACCAAGTCTCAACCGTAAATCATTTCCACTTGACATACTATTTAATAACATCTATATATTTATTAAAAATAAATAAATAAATAGTAAACCACAAATTCGAAGTGAAGGAATTGTAAAAATAAAAGTTAGATCAGTATATATATATATATATATATATATATATATATATATATATATATATAGTATGTACCTGAGTTTTGAGTTTAGCACGTCTTTTATGAATCTTCTTCTCTTCGTCATCAGCATGCATTCGCATACGCAACACTTTACTTCTTTTGCACCAATCTTCTTCGCTATCGCTATCATTAGCACTGCTGTTATTTTCTTCGACACGAATCATATTTTTCGAAGGAAACTTAATGCCAAGTCTTTCCTTTATATTTCGTCCCTGATCCTTGTTATCATTTTTTAAATTAAAATTATTTTCTACAGAATCATTAATTCCCCATGACTCGGACAAAGCACCCCAAGGATTTTTCATACGTTTACTAGATGTACTATCCTCTTCTCTTTCTTCCGAGACTTTTCTTCTGTTCTGTTTAATTTGTTTATACAGACGTTTACGTGATTCCGTCAATATTCCCTTTATTCCTATTATTAAAAACAAAAAAAAAACATTGTTGCAATTCAATATAAACAACTGAGTTAACTTAAGTAACGTGCACAAGTATGTATATATATATATACACACGAAATTACCTCCAAAGTTAGGATTCCCATATTTCTTGTAATAGTCACTCATCTTCTCTGCGTTTGATTGTTTCTTATCAAATCTAGTAGCAAATCGTAAAAAGATGCCCCTGGACTTGGTATAATTAACACCTTTTCTCCATATACCAGGAGGTAAAGGATAATCGATATCTTTTATATTTATTTCATTTGTATCTTTCTTTTCTTCTGCCTCTTTGTCGGACAAATTATCATGTTCAACTTCTATGATGCAATCTTCATTAGGGACACCATCTAATGTATTTGCATTACCTTTATTGCTTTGCGATTTATCATTAACACCTACAATACGCTTTGATAATCCTAACATGGCTCTAGCTGCAGACGCATTGTCAAGCCATACCACATTACCTGAGAAAAATTTAATATTTAAAATATAAGCCGTAAGAATGCAAGAGAGAGATATATATATATATATATCTATAAAAAAGAAATATATACATGACACATCGTTTATCCATTCGATATATGCAGGAGCATAATCTTCAAAATATTTAAAAACGTCTTTTGTGCTCATTTCTTTGGTTCCTCTCATGTGTATTACATTCAATCTAATATTTCTTGTATTCTCGTTATCTTCGCCTATGCCCATGCTAATATAGGTTAGAAAGGAATTATTTCTAAATTATCATAATATCTGTCATTATCGATTAACGAATATAATGTCTGTAATTTTATACCTGGTATATAAATCTTGTTCGTAATTAGATAAAAAATTTTTGGACAATCCAAAACGCTTAGCTCTCTCCTCCATTTTTAATTTTTCTTCTTTACTAAATATATCGATACCTGTCGTAAATGTTCCAGCACGATTTTCATAACGGCTTTCAAGAAACTGAAAGTTTATACGATAATCTTTTTCACTTGCAATAGAAACAATAATATCAATATTAAATTTAATAAATTATTCCTTCCAAAGCTAGATTTCTTTTTCTAAATCGCAAGTAAAGAAAATCTCTAATTTACCTCAGGGATATTTGAATTATTCGGATGATTCAATTTTGGATTGGATTCCAAAGAATCATTCGTTCTGGATTCTTGTTCCAATATCATATCGACGTTAACGGGTTCTTTAATCATCTCCATGTTATACACAGTCAACTTTTTTTATGTTTAATAGCATATAACTCAACTCGTTAAACATATACAGATCTTATTAGACGATATGCATAATAAATAATCCATGAAACATGCCAAACAAGCGAATTAAATACGTAAATAGGTTATGATTTACACAAATAAGAAGAACCACAAACTACTACGAAGCGACGCGATTCGCCATTACAGTGGACAACCATGAACTATAATATAGATTAACCATTAAGATTCTGTTCTACAAAATTGTATTATCGACTGAGAAAATAGTCCATTAATGTGTACGTTCATTTATTCTCATATTTATTTTTTCATTTTGACATTAACAATAATTCTTTCTCAATAATCTGTTCACTTTATATTCCAGTATAAGGGTATATTTACAATTGAAACGAAATAATTAAATAAAATTGTCGTGATTTATATGTATAAAGAAAAAGAAAATTATTCAGAATGAAACGAAATATTGATTTGGACAAAAAAAGAAAAAAAAAAAGTGAGACTGGAAATGAAAACGATGCAAGCAAATTCTTAGTCTACTCGACGAAAGTCTGTCTCTCGTGATTTTTCATAAAATTTCTTACTCTTTCGAAAATACTTTCATCGAATATTTCGACTTTTTAATACTTGACAATTAATCTAATTAATTAATCCTGATTACGTGTGTGTGTGTGCGTGTGTGCATATATATATATATATACATATATATATAATACGTGTAATCAGTTATCCGTCGATAAAGTAGAATACTTGTGGGAAAAATAAAATACGTGTGCACGCTTATTACATCGTAATATTTAATCATAATAAAAGTTTTTATTGATATTCTTATATATAAATCTAATCGTTATATCGTTTAAATTTATTAATATTTTATTTATATCGAAATAGAGAATCGTCATAATCAGCAAATCATCACATACTGGAAAATATGAACATTGGACATATTATTTTTGCGACGTAATCAATAGATATTATAATAATGCGAGTACTATCGAGGTAAATATATAATAATATATATAAGAAAAAAATAATTACATGATTGCATGTAATTATTTTTATCTTATATATTAGGTTGGAATCTATGAAACGGGCGTTTTTGTTTAGTTATTTATTTTCATTCAACGCCCGTTTCATGATTTCCAACCTAATATATTATTATATATTTATTGTATATCGAACTTTTCTATTTCTGATGTTTATCACAATGTCATAGAATTTGATCACTTTTCACCAATGGTAAAGTCATATTACGTTTTATTGAATTATCGACAAAATTTTTATCACGTATTTATCGAAATTTTTCATTATTGTATACTCATTAAGTAGCAATAATAAATCGAAGAAATTGATTGTACGATGAAGATTAGACAGAAAATAACAAATTGATGGATATTAGCCAGGATCAATCGTTCTATCACATAGTAGGACATTTTTATAATATCAATATACATTTATTACTTTGTAACACAAAGTCATATGCAAATACAGCATTTCTTCTTTTTTTTTTTTTTTTCTTTCTTTTTTTTCGTAATAATTAATCGTACGTTGAGTGTCTGCTAGGAGTGTCGTGGAGAAATAAACCACGCACACATGCGCATTTAATTACTTTATCTTGTAAAACCGGTTTGTTTGGTGTTTAATTTTTTTGAAACGTTTCATATATTTGAAAGATAATTTAAAACATTGTTGAAAATGAAAAATTATTGATTTTATTGTATTCAATTTAGATTAATTCGAGAAATTCATGGTAAAAAAAAGAAATGATAGAAGGAGATTTGCTCTTTTTCTTTTTCTTTTTCTTTTTTCCCCCGTATTAATCTTCATTCCTGAAAAACATCAATTAAAAATATGAGAAGATTGTATTTAGATTTACGTAACCCAGTTACATAGATATTATACTCAATTTTGTTTTCTTATTGATGCTCCCAGACTATTTGCCAGACTGATTCGTAATTGTTGAAAATATTCCTGGTGTTATACTGATAGATTATTTTTAACATTGCATGGGACTATATAATTTGTATTACGAAAGATTAAGTACGTTCCTTCTGTTCGATGATTTTTTTCAGTTTTCTCCTTCTAACGACTTCTATTTTTTTTTTTTTTCTTTTTTCATTTTCTTTTTATTCTTCTAAACAGAACACCATTTTAACGAGATTATTATAAATTGATGCAATTGCAAATAACATTTCTCTGACTTATTTTTATGGCACTGTTATATCAGAGAAAAAAAAAGACATTAGCTCGTACATATTAATTTACATAACGCGACAGGTTAGCATATGTTCATCTACATTCTTATTATGATAATTATATTATAAATATAGCGTATGTTGGCAACAATCGAGAAATTTAACTTCGACTTGCCAACGTGTGAAACATAAAAGTAGAAGGTAGAGAACGAAATGGATCATAGAAGGACGTTCCGACGTTTATAGATAATTCTTCGATTATATTATTATCTAGAAAAATAATTGCGTAGAAAGAGAAGAAAAACGAATATACAGTGAGAAAAAAAAATAAGAAAGAGAGAGAGAGAGAGAGAGAGAGAGAGAGAGAAAGAAAGAAAGAGAAAGAAAGATAAAGAACAATGTATTTAGTTAAAAACGTTTATTTTATTCAAGATAGGAGACGGTGTTTATATACGATCTTTTTGTGAAATGTCGAAATATTTAACTCCGATGAAGACGAAGTATGTCTTAACAGGCATTTAGTGATATATCAAGGCACGATCATTTCTATTGGCACAGTACGTCTTTAGCCTCAGATTAAGGAGGAAGTACTAACGGAGCATTACAAAACGATCGAACAACATATATATATATATATATTTTTTTTTTTTTATTACTTTATATTATATATTGACATATTATTAACTTTATACATGTCTATATATTCATATATATATATGTGTTTTTCTCCTTCTTTCTCTCTCTCTCTTTCTCTCTCTCTCTCTCTCTCTCCCTCTCTCTCTTGTTTTTATTTTCTCTATGTTATATAATATAATTTAAAAAAGCATTTGCTTTTAAGTGTTCGATAAAAAGAAGAGAATATAATCGACGATAAGAAAGTGCAATTTTCATTGTTGACAATAATCGGACGAATTTGTTTATTCGTTGCTTCATTAACATCATCTTGTCGATATGAAACAAAACGGAATACCATTGAATGAAATAGTAAGTAAATTTAATTGACGAAGGTTAACAGTGAAAGACAAAAGTGAAGTTAAACTAATATATATATATATATATATATTTTTTTTGTTTATTACTTTTTGTTTTTTAATGCTTTCACGTAATTTTAATGTATGTAAATCGACGTATAACACGATTATCTTTTTCATGATCATTTATACGAATAAGATAAATCAGTATATTAGATGTTTATATGTTGTTGTTTTTTTTTTTTTTTTTATTTGATTGTCCATAAAGAGAAAAAAAAAAGAAAAAAGAAAAAAAAGAAAAATTGATCATTTATATTTTTGTATTTTACTAATCTTCCGGTCAAATATTTTATTTTTATCGCTAAAATTTTCGGTTCATATATATACGTTATAACGATAGGATATATCGTTTAACTTTTTACTTAAATATATTTTTACGATATCAAAAAAATTAACATGTTATAGGATAATTTATTGTTAATATAATTTTCTAAATGATTCATATTAAAATGTATTTAATATAACTGTAATTTCTTTATAATATATAGGAACATAATTCATTCGGAGATAATTCTACGCTATCTTCTAATCTTTTTCTTTACTTATTGATAATAAATTTGATTCGGGAAAAATTTTATGAGCATAGAATAATATTAAAGACTGTTGAAAAATGTTGAAATTAAAACTCTTCTTAGATTCTTTCTTACATACAATCATAACCCGTAGACTAATAGGGACTTATTAATGTATTTTTAGATTTTATAATAGGTTTGTTATGCCCGTATATTCGTCAAGAATTGTTTGTGGCATCTAAGATAAATCAATTTTACTGTTTGAAAATCTACAGATCGTGAGAGATGCATTTCGTTCAATTAAATCGTCACTATGAAACAGAGCCATGCTTTCAATTAAACGTGTCACGTGAATATTAATCTCGACGCTACACGCTTCCAGTTCATTTACATTTTCAATGAGTCCCAAGTTCTATATTAGACGATGAATCAATTGAACTTTCTGATAGATTAATCGAATATTTTATCGAGGACAAAAATCTCTTGATATTTTACTTTGTAATTATACTCTTGCTCGACAAAAAACTCTTCAAATTGACCATTACAAAAGTGTTCTCAGAATCGTGTATATATATTAATTAATAATTCATTGCTACATCGATCTACATAATAAAGACGTAATCCAATGTAAAAATGTTGTAATATATTATATTATAATAAGATATATATCTCGCCTAACTCTCGTAAAATCGATTCTAATGCAAAATGTTAATTTGACTTATATTAACAATTATTGATAAAATAAGTAGTCAATAAGAATAATTTTTTTCAGAACATATCTGTTTGTGATTGTACAGATAAATCAAAAAATTTAATAATTACAAGTGACGATATAATAGGTTTCTTTAATTGTGTTTACTCAAAGTGATTACAATTAGATCGTAATTATAGTGCGATGTATATCGTATAATAACACGGTAATCACTTTTCCGGCGTAAAGATGTCTTTGATAGAAAAAAAATAGAAAACGGAAATGATGACTTTAATTTTATAAAAAATATTTGTTTGGTTGTTTTCAGATTTTTTATTGATTCAAAATATTTCCTTTTGTTCTCAGAACATTGTAGCTTACAATTAAATTAAATATTTATCCATCATCGTCATCAGTAACGCGTTTATCCTTTTACAATATCGAAATAACAAGTTCACTTCATTTAATCAAATTCTTACAAATTTTTCTTTATTTTATTTTCTTCCTCTTTTTTTTCTTTTTTTTCTGCCTTTGGTTTTAACATATTTAAATATATATTAAACCATTCTTTATTATTTTTTTTTTTTCTACGAGGAATAAAATTTTAAAACGTGTTACCCATAGAGATTTTACGCTTAATACAATAAATGCGGCCTTGATTATCATCATGATCATCATCATCATCATCATCATCATCATCATTAAACCGTATTAATTTATGCCACGAGCGATATTTCAACGGTTTAAAGGAAAAAAAAAAAAAAAAAAAAAAAAGGGGGGATATATGGTCCGTAATGTAATTTTCTTACGTAATCCCGTTCGAAGTGGTATTTTTTTTGTCGCTTGAAATGAATGATCACGCGTACGGAAGAATAGTAATCGCGACGAAGAGAAAAAATTATCATATATTAAAAGATTGAGGAAAAAAATTAGTATTTTCTTTTTCTTTTCCTCGTTTTTTATTTCTCTTTTCCTTTTCCTTTTTTTTTTTCTTCTTCTTGAACAAAATTTTTATCTCCCGCTAATCTAAATCATTTCAAACGTTTTTTATTTTATGACTTTGTTTTAGGACTTGGAAAATTCCACGATAACTAATATCGAGGAAACGAAAACTTCTAAGAACAGAGGAGCTGATATTACTTATGGCATTGACGACGTGCCACCGTGGTATTTGTGCTTCTTTATGGCACTTCAGGTATTATTATCTTTCTTTTCTTTTTTTTTTTTTTTTTTTTTTTTTTTCTACAAATATTAACACTGTTTTAACGTCGTGGTAAAAATTTTGAAAATGTCATTAGAAAAAAGATTTTATAGAAACTTTTTTGTAAAAATTTTGCTAGCATTATCTGACCATGATCGGTGCCATCGTTTCGATTCCGTTCATCCTAACGCCAGCACTTTGCATGGCCGAGGATGATCCTGCCAGAAGTTACATAATCTCAACGATGATCTTTGTAACTGGTCTTGTTACTCTCTTGCAAACTACAATAGGATGCAGGTGATGATATTATCAATTATCATCTCACAACTTTCCATATCTCTCATATGTTAATTATCATCGTGCTGTGTACACATCGTCAACAAGATTAAATTAATGATTAATTATATACTCATAAATTATTACTAATCAATGATCGTTATCAATCCTTTCATAAGAATCTTATCGCCCCGAATCATATCATGATCGATCATTTAAAAATTTATTTACTTTGTAGAAAAATTAGATTTTCGTTAATTTCCATGAAATAATTTTCATAATAATAATTATATAAATCATATGAAAGGTCGTATTTGAAAAAAGAAAGAAAAAGAAAAAAAATATATGTATATATGTACACATACACACACTCAACGTTATCTTGAGAATTATTGATTTAATGGTAAAATAAGTCGATAAATAGTTGTTTGCATAAAACGCTTATTTAAATTCAATATCTATCATAAACGTATAAGAGAGGTTTACATTTAACGATACTCGAGCAGACACCTATAATTTATTGCACTGAGTGAATCATTATTGTAAAAAAAGAAATTATATATACAGCTAGCTTTTAACACAAAAAAAAAAAAAGAAAAAAAAAAAAAAGAAAAAAAAAGAAAAAAAAAAGAAAAAAAAAAAGAAATAAGAAGAAAAGAAAAACCGAGTATTACCTTTGGCTATTATCTTCAATGAAATCTGAATAATAAAAAGATGAGGACTCGAGTTATTTTTCTAACGGTTTCTAATCATAGATTGCAGTATTTAAAATATGCAGTAGAGAATGTTTGTTTATAATTTATACTAACGTTTATAACCATTATCGGTAAAAAATATTTTAAATTATTCTTACGCCAAGTAGAAGGAAATGAGAATCGAATTGTAATTATATTCATATTCATTATTGAATATTTATTAAGCCTTGTAATTTATTTATTTTTTCGTTAGATTACCTTTGGTACAAGGTGGTACTATATCATTTTTAGTACCTACCCTTGCTATATTGAGTCTACCACAATGGAAATGTCCAGCGCCAGAGATTTTGGAAGCAATGTCTCACGAAAATCGTACGGAGTTATGGCAAATTCGTATGAGAGAATTATCCGGTGCAATCGCGATATCTGCATTGTTTCAAGTCATTGTTGGATTTGGAGGTATTCGATTATAGATTCAACGTAGAAATATACAGAGAGATCTTATATCAACGTAGAAAATTCTACGTTAAATATAAGCTAATTAATTAGCATTGAAAATTTTGTCCTTGATTTTTTTCCTCTTTTTCTCTTTTTTCTTTTTTTTTTTTTTTTGCAAAAGAAAATCAATTCTAATTTATTCGTATTGTAATTATAAATATAAGATTGAAATTGAATATAATGCATTTTTGTTTGTTCGATAGGAATCATCGGATTAATGTTAAAATTTATAACTCCTTTAACGATAGTACCGACCGTTTCATTGGTCGGATTATCTCTTTTCGAGAATGCTGCGGAAGCTGCATCGAAACATTGGGGTATCGCTGCCGGGTAATAATTACTATATATTTTCATTCTGCTTAATTAGGATTAAGGGTATGATATGACGATGATGAACTATTTTAATAAAAATTGTTTTCTTTTTATAGAACGATACTAATGCTCACGATGTACTCGCAAATATTGATCAATGTATCTGTTCCGATAGTGATGTATCGTAAGGGCCATGGATTACGAATCATCTGGTTCGAATTGTTTAAATTATTTCCCGTAAGTATATTTCAACGTTATACATTTTTATGAGTCAAATGAAAATGAGAGTATATACGTCGTTGTACGCTTTAATGATTAATTTTACGATGTTACTCGTGTTCTTTCATGCATATCGATAATTTTTGAAAGATCATAAATTCCCATCTATAATTATCATCTTCATCGGCAATTATTTGTGGATCTTCTTATACCAATGACGATATTATTCGTAGGTACTACTGACGATTGTTGTAATGTGGATTATCTGTACGATTTTAACAGTCACCGATACTTTGCCTGTCGGTCATCCTGCTAGATCAGATAGTAAAATAAAAATTATCAGTGATTCTCCATGGTTTAGAATTCCATATCCTGGTCAATGGGGAGTACCTACGGTCAGTCTATCAGGTGTTCTTGGAATGTTAGCAGGTGTATTGGCATGTACAGTAGAATCTATCAGTTATTATCCTACTACTTCTAGAATGTGTGGTAAGAATCATGTATTTGATTATAAAAACATTAAGATCTACATATTATTAACAATGAGATAATGAATGTATAGGTGCTCCACCTCCACCCGTTCATGCTATTAATCGAGGAATAGGAATAGAAGGTCTTGGAACTATGTTAGCTGGTCTATGGGGTAGTGGCAATGGTACAAATACTTTTGGCGAAAATGTTGGCACCATAGGTACGCTCTCGTTCACCTTATCACTTTCCTATTGTTAAAGTACACATCGATGACAGAACTATTATTAAGAATATATACAATTTAATGTATCCTTTCGTTTCCATTAGGTGTAACAAAAGTAGGAAGCCGTAGGGTCATACAATGGGCTTGTGGATTAATGATTTTACAAGGTCTAATTAGCAAATTTGGTGCCGTATTTATTATTATACCAGAACCAATAGTCGGTGGGATATTTTGTGTCATGTTCGGAATGATATGCGCATTCGGTACGATTTAATTTTTTTTTTTTTTTAAGCATCCGTTCAACATAATTCATTTTTCTTTTTTCCATTCATAGGTCTGTCAGCTTTGCAGTACGTAAATTTGAACTCTTCGAGGAATTTATATATTTTAGGATTTTCTATTTTCTTCCCTATGGTCAGTGTTAATTAATAATTATTACAATTATATTTTTGAAAAATATCAATCCGATTTCGAATAAATTTGATCTCCTTTAATATTTAGGTACTATCGAAATGGATGATAAAACACGCAGATGTAATAAATACAGGCAATGATATTGTCGATGGCGTTATTACAGTATTATTAAGTACAACTATTTTAGTTGGCGGTGTGATTGGTTGTTTATTAGATAATATAATACCAGGTAATGTGGATTAAATTGAAATTGAACGATATCTTATAGTAATCAATTTTATACATACATTGTTTTAATCAAAATTAAGGTACTGATGAGGAACGAGGTTTACTAGCTTGGTCAAAAGAAATGGAATTAAATGTCGAAACGTCAGAAGAAAAACAAAGCGAGGAATACGTACCGAATACATTTGATTTTCCTATTGGAATGAAATTATTAAGAAGGTAATATTTAGATTCGAATAATAACAAAATAACATATATAATGTGAATATTTTATATCTTAGATGGAAATGGACGTCTTACTTACCATTTTCACCAACCTATAAACCAAACTCTGGTGTATGTAAGTGTAGCACAAAAAAATAAATGTATATATTTAGGTTATATAGAAAAGACTTGTAGAATATATTCATTATCGTATTATAGATTAGAATGAGATAAGATATTATTTGTATTAATTGCGTATATCGCATAAGAAATGTGCATTCATGTTATTTAATAATAAATTAATAATATATCCACACCGAAAATATGTCCGATAATAATATGTGACAAGAACAACGAAATTATTTACATGTTGATTATTTTGCAAAAGACAACATTAACAAAAATTACGAATATGAATAGTGGTCCTTTTAGAGCTTTTTTTTTTTTTTATAATAAAGGTCTTAAGCACGTTTTTCATAGCGACCGCAATAATAGATTTTCAAAGCAAGTCGATAGATTTTGCTCTGATTGGTGGATGCAATAATGGAAATCGAGTAATCTTTTCTTATTGGTCAACGCAATAACGTAGTTGGATGGATTTTCTCTGATTGGTAAGGGTAATAATGGAAGTTGATAGATCTTCTTTGATTGGTCGACGTATTGATGGAAGTCAATGATTCTTGTTTTTCTCTCGAGTACAATAATAGAAATAGCGCGAAATAAGTCAAACAGTGTGAATTATAATTCCTATACGTTTACTCAATGTTATTTAAATATTCATAGTTTTGTATTTAAAAATATAAATAAATGTGATAATGACTACTTCCACAGATATTGCTACGGTAGTGTTTATAATATTTTCTTGTTTTAATATTTATTAAATTTCAATTTTAATTTAAACACAAGTTTAACCTCAAACTATTTTGGATATATATATATTGAGATTAAAAATTAATAACTTTATATAAAATGTCGAAAATCTCTTTAAAACAATATGAATTTATATTGTGTGGCAGAACGTAATTTTTTAGTATGCATTAGTTTTATTAGTGTATTGCGAAAGGTGAAAATAATTACATTAGATGATAACAGTAACAAAGGGGTTTTATTTCAGATAAGGGTACAGAGATACCTAAATATGCCATTGGTACAGAGATGTAGCGAGTTGGCAGTATTAATAGACGAATCAAGTACTACAGAACTACAACATGTATTTCCAATAATAATAGATTCACTGTTTGGAATAACAGATAATATCGGTTGGGGTTTGCATAATATTACTTACAAAAAAAATCCCCAAGAATATGAAATGCTGTATAATTTTCTTAGTCCACATGGACCAATATTTTCTCTTTGTTATAAATTACTTCCGGATTGTTATTTGAAATATAATTTTCCGGTATCATATTTGCCAGTAAGTTGTTTATATATTTTATATAGTTGAAAATATTCATTATATCATATAATAAATATAATTTCAGTCAAAGATACGCTCGATGTTAGAGGAAGGTGTAATACCACCTTTTTATCTTGACAAAATTAGAGATGACCAAGGAACGAGAGTTCCGTCAGCTTTATTCATGAGTATCCTTTCAAATTCTCGTCATAATTAGAAATATAAATTCAAATGAAGATAATATATAAATTGTTCCTTAACGGTTATCACATATCCCTTTGAGTATTACATTTTTCATTTCGCTTATCATTTGACGAATCCTTGGCTACAGATACAACAGCAAGAAAATGTTTGGGTAAATTGGGAAACAGTGTATGTTCAATCGGCTCATTATTACTTGCATCATTTTTTACCAAGAGATAATTCACCAGTTTTACCAATAATTGGGCCATACATAAAGAAAACTCCTCAAAGAAAATTGATGCAGTCGCCTGAAAATAAAAGGTAATATATCATTTTTTTTGCAAAGAAGAAATGCACTTTGTGTTTATCAGTTTTAAAATTTCAATTAGAGAATCTCATAGATTACAAACTCCAAGACTTTTGAGAGCATCAATATTATCGCCAGGATCTACCAATTTAGTGGTAGGAGTCCCTCAACAACAATGTCTTCCTCAAGTATGGAGAAGTGAGACAGTGATACAAGTATTTCTTGATTTTTGGATGGAATATACTGAGGACGATCATATGCCTTCTCAAATGAATATGTCGTATTCTACTCCTATTCCACATCGCGTAAGTAATATAATGTATATTATAATATTTCTTTTATTTTTAATCATTTTACGACATATAACACTTTTATTATAGCACAGCATACATTCTGGTGAACATATACGTCTAGTTAGAGCATTTATAAAAACTTTACACGAATTTGCAAATAGTTCGATCGGAGATAAAAGTGCTATGGATGAGTTAAAAAGGTATTATGTCACATATTTTTATAATACATAGTTACATTGTTACATTGCATAGGCAAGACAATAGTATTTGATTAATCTTTAAAGGATTATTTTGCCATCTGTGCAAGGAAAGATCTATGTATTCCTTCGAAAAGCTATATATCATTGGCCTCTGGACAGTTCGTTTAGATTAATTTTGGAGGCATGGTTGAGTTTTATTCAACCATGGAGATATATTGCAGGAGTAACATATACAAAAGAAGGGTATGAAAGAATAAATTATGTCATTGATAAAATTATAAGTTTATAAGTACAATATAACTTATGCAATTTATAATTATAGCAAACCAGAGGAAGAGGAGAGGGGTAAAATACATGATCCAAACAGATGGATAACTTTTGTTGCTAATAATCTATTGGCTTATACGGTAATATTTCAACAATTATTACCACGTTTTATGAGAACTGATCTCGTGGCTCCGAAAAATGCTTTGATGTTATTTAGAGTTACAAAGGTAATGAACAAGCTCTGTCTTATTTGGAGAATTCTTGTGTGTGTATATATATATATATATTTTTTTTTTTATCTTTGTAAAGGTATTTTCTCAACCACATTTGGCAAGGATATTATCTGAAGTAGAAAGTTGTATGGATGATGCCAATCTTAATAGAAATCGTATGCAATCTAGTCAATGGACTTCCGTAGTAAGGCAACAAATTATGGAACTTGAAGGTCCAACTTATCAATACATTCCTATGTTTTCAACGACCACTATTACACAAGTATTTATTTATTTATTTATTTATTTATTTATTTATTTATTTTTTTTTTTTTACAAAATTCTATTTATTTATTTATTTTCATTAATAGGATCTTACGTTCCAGGTAACTTTTTTCTTAAGTATAATCAAACAAGCACATTTAACAGCAACGAGTTTGATCGAAGCATTAGAAAAGAGGAAACGGAGTCAGCAATTTTTAGTTGCCCTATGGGAATTCTTTTACGGGGAAGAGAATTCGTCCGATGATATTTCTATAGAGGAACGTCGTAGGGTTCCTATATTTTTAGCAAACGCTCAGCAACAATTGATCGATATATTCCAAGTAAAAAATACTTCAATTATAAAATCTTTTGTAACTACGTATCGAAAATCAATGTATACCAATATATATATATATATATATATGTATATAAAGAGATTCATTGTTTTTAGATTTCATTAGAAGATATTCCACAAATAAGTATTACACCTGATCAGGAATATCACGATAGTATTCTCTCGACTTCTTTTCATCATCAGTCTCAGGTCTTTTAAATTTTACTTTTTATCATTGTTAATAATCTAAATTATTTTTATATTTAACTGACAGCTCAATATTGATTACGTTTAGGTGGATTCATCGTTAGATTCAAGTAGACCAGGTGTTTTTGTACCAATACCGGATGGAAGACAAAATTTTCGATACATCGAATATATGGGAGATCCAGAATTACAGCCAGTTCGTTCCAACGAATGTGCTTACCTAGTCAGAAATTTGTATAACTTTTGTTCTTATATTAATAACAAGGTAAATATTTTCTCGATATAATAACAAACAATAATGATTACAAATTTAATGAATAGATCCGTATTTATTTCTAGTATCGATACGAGATAAATATTTTATACAACAAGAGAAATTTTCTTGGAAGTATTTGTCGACAGATACTTATACCGCCAACCACAATTGTAAAACTTCCAAAACGAACCATTAATGGTTTTTCAAGTGGTTCCGAAGAATTGATTCCTCCTCGATTGAGTTTAAGACGATTATCTAATTATGGTTTCTTGATTTTTATATCAGCGAGTATGTTTATGGCATGGATCACAAAGTGCGTATTCACTTATATCCTTAACTTTATTCATCGTAATTCTTACTTCAATAATTTTTCTTTTCTTTTTTTTTTTTTTTTTTTTCTCCATGATTCACAGTTACGGGGTACTATGGTTATTGTGCCTAATGTTTTTTGTATGGTTCCTATACATATTGATACGAGCAATTTTCGAACCATGGTTTCAATCAAGCACAAATACTTTTAGGCCAAACACAACCGCTTTTTCGATAAACTAAATCGTATTATAACCGAAGATTATAAAAAAAGAAAAAAAAAGAAAAATAAATAAAATGAATCGCTTTATCTGATATGGACTAAAATATATGCGAGCATTAATTCGCAGCATCGTTTAAAAAAGTAAACAATAAAAAATAAAAGAAAGAAAAAAGAAACAAAATTATTGCGAACAAATTATGGTAATTAATTCGCAAATGATTGTCACACAAGTTGTATTGTGATCTATATGGAATTAGAGATATGTCAGATTTGATATATTTTTTATAAACTTTTTTACAGACCATTGAGATGAATGGAATAATGGAATAAATTGCAATTTTTTTTATAGAGCTATTGCCTTGTAAGGTATCAAAAAAGAAAAAAAAAAGAAAAATAAAAGAAAAAGAGAAAAAAACGATACGAACGTAAAACATGAAACTGGATTCACGTAAATAACTCGATCGGATATCTTCAGTTAAACATTAACATCGATAAAGGATTTTTTAGAAAATTGGGTGATACCAATTTATTGCTGTAGAAGTATAATCATTCAATCAATACCACGTACATACTATCAATTATTATTTCTCCTGTTAGTCATATTACATATATACAGATATCTGTCCAGAACGTATATATGTACGTACTCGGAATGCATAGTTCGTTAACGTTGACATTGTGAAAGATGCAAAAATTGTACCCCTTTTTCTATCGAACTCGACTTTTACCTTTATAATATCATTCAGAGTATATTCTGTTATATTAAAAAAAAAAAAAGAAAAAGAAAAATGAACTAATGAAAAAGATTGCTATACGAAATATTCGTCTTTTTTTTCTTTTTCCTTTTTTGTTTTTCTTTTTACATTTTTTGTTCTGGTTTTTTTTTTTTTTTTTTTTTTTTTTTTTTACGCCACACTTTATCGTCGTATACACATTTCACTCTAATCTGTTTAATATTAGAAGGAGTAGATAAGCCTCATTGAAATGTTATTATCATCATCGAGTACAGCTGGCTGCAGCTGTTCATTTGCCATTTTTACAAGAGAAAAGATTTTAATAAAAAAAAAGGAAACGATAGATAGGACGATTATTACTTCGATTGATAACAATTATAATTATATTAAGAAAAAGAAAACGCACGAAAGAATGATTGTAAAAATGTATGATGATTTAATTTCTCTTCAATTCTCTTCCAATTTTTCTACAAAAAAAAAAAAAGAAAAAAAAAAAAATAAAAAGAAGGAAAAAAGAAAGAAAGAAATAGTTGAGTTCAGTCCAGTTAATTCTGTCCGCAATAAAGTCTCGTTCCTTTATTAGCGAGTACAGGGTACGTAACAAGGGTGTAACAATTTATCAAGTAGACACCTAATCTCGTATAAATTTTATTTAAAAAGAAATAAAAAAAAAAAGAGAAGTACACACACGAGGTACTCTTTCCCTCATTCTCTCTCTTTCTCTCTCTCTCTCACACACACACACACACACACACACTTTCTCGGATATCTTAAATTGAATTTAATTAAAAGAGACAAAGTTCTTCATACGATACGATTTGTCAAAAGGAAAGATTCCCTTGCAATTTTTCGAGTGATTAGAAGAAATAGGTGAGAGTTGATAAAATAAAACTCGTTATATTTTACGTTGCGTATTACTCGGTGACCGATAAAAAAAAAATAAAAGAAATCTCGTCGGATCGTAAGAAACTTAAAACCTCGAGAGTACAGGTTCTACGTGTTTGAGACCTTTTAATTGGATCTAGCAACTCGTCAGAAAAGTATACGACGAACAGAAATTTTTAATGCTTTTCAAGTGCGAACAAGCGAACAATGGAAAGTTAGATAGATTTTCTTAGAACTAAAGAAATAAAAATCTCGAGACATTTCTATCATTCGTAAATTTGAAAAATGTTTTCTCTGTTCTAATGAGACAGATATGAACGAGCGAAAAGTTTTCCGATGTCATTTTAAAATCTTCGAAGATATTCTAAATACACCCTTCGATCAATATTTTCTTCGGATATCAAAACGAGTATCAAATTTGTCTTATCTATATTTTTCAGATTTAGATCTGTACTCTCACACTTTTTTTGAGGATAGAAATAATTCGACGTATATTTCAATGATAATCACTGAATTAGTCGATCATATCTAAGAAGATAATAGTCGAAGAAAGATATTCCAGGTGGGTTGGTATGACACATTAGATATATTAAGCCATTAGTTTGATCTTCATCGTGGCGTGAATGCATTTACACGTCTTAGCAAGTGTAACAGGAATACGAATACGAACAGTTTTCGATTTGATATGAGAATGAGAACGATGAACGCTATATATCTTATACATACTTAAATACATATGTATTTATATACCTGTATGTATATATATATATATATATATATATATATACATATGTATGTAGGTGGATATATCTTTATCTCTTTCCTTATCGAGAGGAAGATCATCGTGTCCCAAGAGAAAAAGTTTAAAGGAAAGAATCATTGAGTTTCTTCGACGTGCTTTGACATGTCTTTTATACAATGTCAAACGCTCTCTTGTGGACTAGTTAAGTACAATGAGTTCATCTGAATTATCTCGAATGGGCTTGTTCACCGTTCGTTAAGCCTTCCATCGCAACGTGTATGTGTATATGTGTTTGCGAGTGCATCTACGTGTACGTGTCTCTTTAAGTCGATGACACATACACATTTTTCTCATTGTGTAATATTAATCGTCTGTTATCTGTTCACACAATGAAATCACAACTTCCTCTTTTCCTATTTATTATTTGCCATTAGTTTCTTATACGATAGTATCTAGCATCTATGTATATCTCGTATTTCTCGTTATGTTCAAGATATACAAAATTGTTTCTATAGAAGATAAGATATAGAATGGTCGATCGACATCTTAATAAGACATTTATAAAGTTTCTTTACCTCTTCCTTATTGATATGCCGAATCTCTCGAGCATCTCGATGTCATTTCTTCTTTTTTTTTTTTTTTCTTTTTTTCGGACTGTATCTACCGATAACCAAAAGAAATCTCACGTCTAACGATATTTTTCTTTCGATTCCTTTTCGTTTTATATCCCTAATAAAAGTCTTAATTATTTCGTGAATAAATTCTGATAAAAAATTAAAATGTTATCACTTCCCTCCCCCCACTCTCTCTCTCTCTCTCTAAGTTAAACGTTTAACCACTTGTTCGATCGTGTATATAGGTATTATTAGATTCAAGTATAGCGAAGGTCGAGAGTACGATTATTTTATTAGGATACAATTATACGTTAATAGATAAAATAATCTTCTTTTTTTTTTTTTTTTTTTTTTTTTTGTAATATATCTAGCATATATCATATATGTATAATTAAGTCTATAAACGTCGTATTATTTTCGAGGTATCAATTAAAAAAAAAAAAAAAAAAAAAAAAAAACAACGTTTATTTATCATCAAACAGAAATTTAATTATTTGACATCCTTTTTTTCAGCTTTGAAAGAGCATTGAAACGCGTGTCACAAAAGTTAATCCTTGGTAATACCCGAGAACATGATATCCCACTTTAAATATATATCACAAAACCACCGTCAACGCAAAAGGTAGAACGAAAAATATCCAGACTCATTTGTCTGGTCAACCTTGACAGCAATCCGATCCTGATTTAATGTCGCCTCATATAATAAATATCTTCTTATTATAATTAAAATGATTTTCACCTCTCGAGATAAAATTCTTATAGAATAGAATTAGATAGTAGATTACTCGGATAAGGAAGAACGAGAAAGAATGAAAAGAAAATGTTATCTAAAACTTTAACTGTAATTTATAACGTCGTTACGGTCAATCCAGCGATCCGGAAATTCAGCTTTTAAGGATCTATAAACTTTCACGGTAAGCAATCGAAAGATTAACTTTCTGTGAAGTTCGTTAGAGTTTCTCGAAGTATGAAGTGAACGAACTTTTCTTATTTAATTGCGTTAAGAAAGATTACTTTGAAAAAGAAATCTTTTGTCATTTTTCTTTTCTTCTTTTTCTTCTTCTTCTTTATATTTCAGGTATTCATTTTTGTCGGCGATCTTTTCGACTGGAATTAAATCATTAATTAACGAAGCTTAATTAATTCGAAGTTTGTAACTTGTCCATTTCATTCATTCGAACGTTTCAATGCGAAATGTTATTGATGAAAGAATAAAACGTAGCTTTGTTGTAGGGAGATAGTAGCAGGTTCGTTACAGTTACGAATACGAGGAAGCTTGCACATCCTCTTCTTCTCTGGTATATATATATATATATATATATATATATATATATATGTACAGCACGAATACATTGCAACAATCAACTCTATCTTCCACCACCATCGCCACCACTACAGCCATCACTACCACCACCACCTTCATCTCCACCACCACCACCACGACCTCCAGTAACATTTCCACCCACCTTCAGCAGCGTGTCCCTGTGTGTCACGAGGAGTCACTCAGTTACACGCTACAGGGTTGAGAAGTCGGACGCAATAATATTCTTCGTTTGATCGCCGTTCGTTATATTAATTCAACAATTCGATCTTGACAAAGTTTCGATCATAGGAGATACCTAAACGATTGCCCAATATCGATTTAAATTTCGCGCCTTTTTTTGTGACAATCCGCGCGATCACGTTCACTTTTCTAATTAATTTTCCCGCTCCGACGAGATTGACAATAAATGATACAAAGTGTTGTGTTGGAAAACTTGAAAATTTCTATTCGATATTCATATAGTTTTTATATGTTTAATTAACGAAATAGTTTCTTTTATATCGGAGAAGTTGAAAGTTCTCTTTAGCAATTTCTATATATAAATATATATATATATATATATATATATATATATATACCCAAATATGTGTCGAAAGGAATGCGACCAAAACGTTCCGTCAAAGTTTCGAAAGTTCATAATGTATATTCGATAACGATTTCAAATTCTCGTTAGACAAAGTTTTTGGAGTTTCGCGTTCGTCGGAAACTTAAATAATCGCATTTACTTGAATAATAGGACAGAAGTTCGAGGTCAAGCATTTAATCTTCCAGTAATATCTCAAATTACCTAGAATCCGATGATCCATTTACGACGATATTGATTAATATTGATATTCGACGATCGTTAAGATACGTCATTAATCTTAACCGAAAGTGATCCATATAACTAATTCGATTTATTTTTATCTTTCTTCATTTGCGTAGAATGTAGAAAGAAGCTTGTGATAGCAATTAGGATGAGATTGGTATGACGATTATCAATATATTATAAATAACAGAGAACATCTGACAAGATGTTTTTCATTATTGAAATTATAACATGGATCGTCTTTCGTATAAAAATTAGCGTAA